GGGGGGGAGGTGAGGGCGTGACTCGTGACTCCGGGGTAAAAGTATAGGGTATGCTCCTCGTATCTCTAAGGAGTAATAAAATTCAGCGATTTTATATCTTTTAGGGTTTTAAAATTCAAAATTTAGAATTTCGGCAATTTTTGGTATCTTTTTGGGGTTAAAAATCGTCCAACCATGCCCTTTTAAAGGAATTCCGGTATCTTTTAGGGGTATTTTTGAAAATTTCCGACAAGCATATCGATACTTTTACCCCGTCAATCCACCCCCCCCCCCCCCCCCCCCACGGGCTATTTCTATACACAAATACGTTGTATAGTAAACAGAGTGTAAAGAGACATTATAACCATTGTTCAATGCTGGAAATTGAGTCGAGGTACGCGAGTACAAAAACCCGGAGTACCCTATTAGATGTTGTGAGTCCGGATATTTCCAGGGAAAGACCGCAACATGTTTCATCAGCTACTTACGTTAGACACATCCGAGTAGAACTTGAAGAAAAAGCCTTGGATCAAGGATTGTCTGTATTCCACTTGTCCAAGATCTACTGCGAGTACAAGTTCTTCTTGGAGTTGAGTCAAGGCGTGAGAAACGATAGATTCATCCCAGGCCCTATTAAAAAAAATACCAAACTGGAATGCTGATTCTTTAAAAACATTTACTAGCGTAACACAAAACAATCTCAATTCCAGCAACTTATTTCCAATGATTGATAGAATACAAAGTAAATAAGTGCAAATACATTAATATTTAAGGAGTTTGAGTAAAATGGAAAAAAAGAGAACAATATAGATTGTGGACGACTCCCAAAGTAGTATAAGCTTACAAATTGGGTGTAGTAATTAGAAAAGGTAAAAAAACACTGAATAACAAGATCATAGGAAAAGGGCCACAGATTTGTTAAGCACTGGCAATAGTCCCTTCCACAGTTCTCTGCGCCATCTTGAAAGGTAGCCGTGCCTTTGCATCGAAGCGAGAAAAACGGTGAGCTTGGACAATTATTCACAAGTCTCTATCATTGCAAGCTCACCGTTCGTCTGGCTTCGATGCAAAGGCACGGCTACCTTTCAAAATGGCGCATGGAACGCAAAACGATGCCGATTTTTAAACTTTCGTTGCATTCTGCATCGCACACAACACACTTGCATCGAGTGTCCTTGCCGTAGCTCACCTGCCCTTGATTGATTCCATTGCTTTCCTTGCTATTACAGTAGTACTACCAACACCACCATACACTATCATACTATCCACAACACTGTATCCATTGTCCTTCTTGTCCAAATGAACTCTGAAAGCAGCGTTGACTATGGCCGTGTCGTTGGCATGGCGACGTGATTGGCGATAGAAGGATATATACTCTGACTGCCAGAGAAAAATACACGAAAGAATATTGTTGAAAATTTGATCAATTAATCAATTGAAAAATGTTAACCAACATGAACGCCTTCCAGTCTTAAGGATCAGAGGAAGATAGGAAGGTCTCAGTGTACATGTGAGGTCACCCTCGTTGAATAAAGTTGGTCATTATAAGATCATTCCTGAGAGAGCTCAAAAGACGACAACTGGCATCAGTGCGTCCCATTTTAGTATATCTTTTCATGTATCGATGTTTTCTGTCACTGGCTCGCACGAGAGATGACTGATCTATAGCTAGTGACAATGCGAGTCGTGGTTGCTAAAGATGGTTCAACTTTTGAAATCTTTCCAATTTTAAAAACGTTTTCAAATGTCTTCGCTATGGGTGGCCAAAAGCGCGAACCGGAGACAAAAAATGGAGGAAAAAGTATGCGTTTTAGCACGAAAAAAATATAGCGTCTTTGGTCCTTACCCTAAATTTCCCACTTATAAGGAATCAAAAACTTGATGAGATCTGGTCATGAATACTTTGCTACCCTACGATTAAATTTTATATAGAAGTAACTGAACTTACGGGATTAGTAGTGAATGGAATATGCACGGAGAACAGAATCTCATTATCAGCCAAAGAAGTTTTACCAGGAGACAATAAGAATTTATCGTCACACAAAATGGTACGTTTTTGTCCTTAAAATAAAATAAAGGTCAAATTAACAACTGAGAACTGCCAGCATTTCTCTAGGTCGTGTAGCATGGGTTGTTTATGCTACTAAGGCGTCACGCCTTAGTCTAGTAGTCCTCTCACCAATGGATCAAACCCACTTGGGTGTTTTGCCCATTTCAGACCACGTGTCATTCTCCTGACAAAAAGATTCTTTGTTTGAGTCGTATCCATATTCATGTGTCTTCTCATGCGCAACCATTAAACAAAGAAATGATACTCTAGGGAATGACACTTGTCATGAAAAGAGAAAACAGGAGTCCCGTCCAAGAAAGTATGCGAGTTGAGTTTGTTTGATGTTGATCTCTTCTATGCTACGAAGGTTTACTCCGAGTTCTCCGGTTTTCTTCCAGTCCGTAAAAATTGACATGTGAGTTGAGAGTATCAGTATCAAGAGAATATTCTCTTGGTATTATTTTATATTCAAATGTAGTAAGGAACGCGTGTGGAGGATACACGGCCCCACAAGTTTCTAGCTTTAAAGCCTATCGTGTATGAATAAAAAGATTGTACATTTTCCTGTACCCCAGAACATTTATGATTCCTTTTTTCACAAATTCAAATTGAAAAAAACTATGGCAATATATTCACAAGCAGCACGTGGCGCTACTCGTATAGAGGCTTTTCAACATCGTCACATGACTGCAGCCATGTTAGATGGCAGGAACGATACAATTGTTTTACGAGAAAGAATTCAATTCTCTAGAGCAAAGGGATTTTATTGTTATGCCATCTAACCACAGGCACTCAAAGATGTGTTATGGGCACTGGCACGTGATGTTGCAAAGCCTTCCGCCCTATTGATGTTTTTTAAAAATCTATTATTTACCTTCTGTGGAGATTGCCACTAAATGAGCTCCTACGGCTATCAGAACAGTATTGAGGTCGGATGTCGATGAAGCAGGCAGAATATTGCTACTAATTGACTTTGTAAATAATAAAATACTGGTTAGATAATAGTGAATACCAGCGGTGAAAGGAGGGAGGTTTTATGTTATTTGTGAAGTTTTATCTTTTCCATGTGTAGAAAAAAGACGAGAAGGTTTACTCGATGGCTTGGTGGGATCCAGTGGTTTTGGCGGGAAAACGCGCGCGTGCGCCCCAGCAACTCTCCCTGCGCCGCGCCACTGCGTATCTTTGTATATAAGCAAGAGAATATGACTGAAGTGATCTTACTTTATATTCTCTTGATATATAAGCCATTCCAAGGCCGAGGAAAAACCTTTTGGTCGAGTTGCCATTGCAATGCATTGTGGAATTGCTTTTTTGGGGACGAAATCTAGACGCCATCGATCTATGTCTCCAAATGCAATGCAACGGCAACTCGACCCAGTTTATCCCCTTAACCTTAGAATAGCTAATGGGAGCGTCATTAGAATGGCAAATCTAAGGGTTTGAATCAAAAGAAACCATTTTCACAGTGAATTCATACCATTGCGTGTTTTATCTGTACGCTTCCATATAGTGCAACCATTTTGAGCATCGCTGACAAACTTCTGGTTTTGTTCTCTGCAAATAGAAACGAAAGAAAAGATTAACAACGAAATTCGTAAAATAAGACCACTCAGCACTGATCCAACATGATCCTTTTTTCTGGTTGGTTTTTGACTGCAGAGTAAATAAAGTTTTACAAATACTCTTACTGGACGTTACCTTGAGAACTTTGAATTACATCACGGAGAGTGGACTCCAAAGTTGCCATAGAAACAGCAGCACCAAATGTCACTCCTTTCTCATCGACTTTGACGGCGTTTAACTCAGGGATGTGTGAGAGTGACAAGACTGTTGTAGGGTTCTCCTTACTTGAATTCTTTCCAAAGCCTGAAAATGGGATTAATAATGAAAATATGTTATTTTATCTGTCTCCATATTTATCCTGATTACTGAATAGAGGTGGTCCAAGGTTTGTTTGTTCCTTGCTGGGTCGCTAGAGTGTCATCAGTTTTGATGCTTAACTAGCTAGAGCAATTTTCCTATCACCTATGACGGTGAGAAAGCTACGGTACTGACTAACTGCAGCACGTACACGGTACGACAGGCCGTAACATTGAAATGGCTTTTAATTGTTTTTGAGTGAATCGTTGCATCGAAGCGGCTAGTTATGGTACAATAAACGGTCACGGTGTGACTAAACTACGTCAAAGGATTCGCAGCATATATCGTTTCCTATGTGTACGTCAGCGCTCTATATAAAAGAATTAGCTTTGTAGTTTACCAAAAAAAAAAAAAAAAGAAAAAAAAGAAAAAAAAAAAAGATTTTAATTGATCAAAATTTGTTGAATCACCTGCTCCAATCATGCCGGCAAGAGCTATCGCCGCTGGATAAGATTTCTTCAGATCCAGAGCTTCTTTCAACGACGAAGGGCGCAACCATCTCACAAAGGTCCCCTTGATATCTAGACTGCTTGGCTTTGTCGACTTGTCAAGCTATTAAAAAATATTTAGAAATTGAACAGAATTTTTGGTGCATGCTTATTGTAATAGTGACATGGTAGAAGGGGCAAAAAATAAAATAAAATAAAATAAAATAAAATAAAATAAAATAATAAAAAATAAATAAATAAATAAATAAAAAAAAAAGGAGTAAAGGAGCTCCAGTAAAGACAATGGACTACTTTGACGATGTGGCTATCTTGAATCGTAATGCATTATGGGTCGTCCAGGGGTTATAAACAGCTCAACATAAGAGAATACAACAAAAGATGAATAAGACGGCTCATCGATCACCTTTACCCATAAAAGAAAGACAAACACACGAAACTCTCTCTATATTTTTTCATGTTTTGTTTTGCCCCCTGGCAAGATGGCCACCGCATCATCGAAGTAGCCCATTTCAAGGTCGTTACTTTTCTTACCATAAGTTCTGGGGGAAATATCAGTTCTTGTGATGGATCGTAAGGCTTCAATGAACTCAAGTCAAACAGGCAACACGATGTCTATGAAGGATATAAGGACAGAAACACTTAGATTAATGTCCAAAACAACTAATACAATAATGTTTTCCCACTTCAGACAACGTGTCATTCCCTATAGAGTAGCATTTCTTTGTTTAACGGTTGCCTATGAGCAGAATCTTATTGTCAAGAGAAGGACACGTAAGTCTGAATTGTGGAAACATTACACCCTAGAAAAAGAGGTCTCTCTCTCTCTTTCGAAAAAAAAAAAAAAAAAAAAAAAAAAAATCGGACTTACATCGTGTTTAGATTCTGGTTTGTTCTTGCAACAAGAGGAATCATCTGAGCAGGGGCCACGCTGACAACAGAGGTCCTTGAACAAGAAAATACATGGATGTTTTTTTGTACAATTAAAGGTCGGAATAAAACTAAACTTTTATTGCATAAAAAAATCAGTACGTCGGTAAAAGTGGATGTAAAGCCGACGTACTTTCATCCATCCAGCGTTTGTACGTACAGCGTAGGTAAATAGAGAGACCTTAAGCATCAGGTTTAACGCTAACCGCTAGAGATCGGGCCCAGAAACGTGGAGAAACATTTAGCATCAATTGAATTCAATATGGCGGCTCTTCCAGCAACGAGTTCGTTATGACGCCTTGCTAAATGTAGAAAGTTTGAAGGAAAACGCCTGCCGTCGACCTGTAGTTTGAGGTTTGCGGTACCTAGCAAAAGGTCGTGCTAAAGGTCTCGAATACCGAAGTCGCGACGTCTAACCAATGAATCCAGGGTAAACGTGTATACATTATACGGTAACGCCTACTTAAATGCCGACAAGTAACGTAATACCGTCCTATAAAAGCTTTCTGTTCTCATTATTGCACTTAAATACCTTAGCAAATGTTTTGAAGCCATCATAGATGGATCTATAACCAGTACAACGACAAAGGTGACCTGAGATAAGAAATAGAAACTCATAATATCTTATTAACTTAGGCATCACATATGATTGAAGACATACATTACATCATCTCATGTGTTAGAGAGAGCTACATGAAAAAAAGCTAAGGGGAATTAGGAAAGAAGGAAGGAAGGGAAG